TGCACTCCGACACGTATAAGTGACGCACAATCGAAAGAACCTCGGGAAGCTGGTACCCACAAAATTTGATTTCAAGTAGGTATGCAACTCGAGAGAAGTACAAAAAAAAAGATGATATTGAAAACCAGAGTGGAGGTGCACTATTTTTATTTGTTACGCCCAATCCTTCAAACACAAAGCCACAGACACTTATTGGCAAAAGATGAAAAAAGTTATTCCCATTGTCACGGCCATGGCATGGAAACTCTTTGCTTTCGCACCGACGGCTTTTTTTTATTGAAATCTGATCTAGAAAAAGCTCCCATGGCTTCTGTTCGAGAGGGATTACCCGAGGAGGTGTAAATAAGGCGCACACGCATGGGTCTCGAAACAAGCCCATAAACGAGCAATAAAAAAATCTACAGACGAAGCAAGTGGAATAGCTTGCAGGTTGGCACGTGCGAGAGAGACGGGGTGAGAACAAACAAACGAGAAGAAACAGAAGCCGCGAAATAGAAATTCGATGTAAAGGAGAGGAGGGAAAGGAGGAGAGGAGCCTTTTCTTGGGCCACACGTGTGGCTCTCTCGTGGTAATTTTGGAATAAATGCTCTCGCGCGCGTGTATACAGCTACCGAGAGCTCCGATTTCTCTCTGTGGAGTACTACGATGGTCCCATACTGGACTTTACCTCCGAGCGATGAGTTTGGGGGATAAATTTAGCCGCGGAGAAAAGCCCGGAATAGCTACAATCTCCCTTTGGCCAATTTTTTTTTTTTTTTCAAGGACACCCCCTTGTATTTTGAAGGCTCCATCTTTCCACTGGCAACAAACTTTTCCAATTGATTTCTCTTTCGTAGTAGTGGTTCCTAATAAATCGGGGGAAAAAATCGGTATCTAGCCCCCCCTCTGCGTTTCTACGTGGTAAGCCGAATTTTTCTTTTACGCAACAGACTCCATCGAACTCGAAGTTGTGTGATTTATGGATTTTTTTTTTCTCCGACTTCAAAGCCGATCTTGAAAGTGTTGAAAAGCCATAGTCTGACACGGGCGGGGAGGGGCGTTGATGGGAGTAAATATAGAAATCGTGTATCAATCGATGCTCGCAGCGTCGCTATTTTCGAGACGGAGGAAGTATATTTGTCGATGGGCGCGTGTAAGGGGGTGGGGGTGTTTCGCGTGTGCGTTGTCTGGTTATAAATTTTTCGTCCGGGTAGCCTTTGCCTCGCGATACACGCGACTTGTACCGCACACGAAAACGTACAGGTATATTTTTAGGTTGGACCGCGTGTTTCCGCGGGATAAAAATTTATCGCCCTTGTAAATTCATTATGCGCGTGTACGAAACGCATCGGGCAAGGCAAATCACGTCAAAACAAGGAAGTCGCTGTTTTCTAGGGCGCTCGAATTATATATGTATATATTGTGCAACGCGCCAGAGAAGAGGCCTTACACGTTTTCTTTTTTTTTTGTTCTTTGTTTTTTGGCTTGGTTCCAGTACATTACACGATTTTCAAGCAAAGACTTTCCGGAATGATGCTCAATCAATTAATACCTCGAGTACAGAAACGATTAGATTACCGAGTACACGGATGCGATGTTATTTTGAAGATTCCCAAGTGTAATTTTGGATAACTCGCCGGAAATGAAGAAATCAAGTAGTCCTTAAATATCGTTGTATCTTGCAGCTCCATACGAACCGACTCTTCATCGTGGCGAGACTCAAGACTCATTTGACGACAAAACGAAGCAAAAAAAAAAAAAAAAAAAAAAAAAAAAAAAACAAAAATAAATAAGATGACATTCATACTGGCAATCGACCGCATTGGTTACGGCATCGCAAGCATATCAAGCGCGTCTTCGCGTATAAGTACAACGCGCGTTCCCCGTGACATAACGTCGTATAAATATGAGCACTACGCTGTATAACGTATTATGGTGACAGAGGGACCAACAGCAAAGTAAAAAGCATTGCTCTTTATATGTATCTGTACATATATTCATATATAATGTATTTGTGCCCTCTATAGCAGTGACGGGCGAAAAAAAGTATAGCCGCTCGAGAGCTTCTCATGCATCCGTGACTCCGGAGCCCGTCACGACGTCTGTAGCCGTAAGTATATACACGTATAGCTCGTATTTATGTTTAGTCACTCTTGGTCTTGTCAAACTGCGCCACGTGTGTGTTGCCGATAGAGCTCCGGGGTAATGGAAACCCCTGTCAGTGACAAGGAACGGGTATATACACCTACCGCTTTGTACGGTTTAATATCCTTTCGATTGGCTGGCTTTCCGTTGCTGCTGATGCTGCGACGACGCGGGGCTTATGTATCGACACGTAACCCACTGATGACTTATGCGTGCAGTCCCGTGTGTACACCGATCCATTCGCACAATCGGCAATCATACTTGTTTGCTATATCCGTGACTTTGCCATGGAATTGCTGACGCAGCAAAAGTTTTTTTTTTCGTTTTTTCATAAAACCTTTTTTTGTACTTGAAAATTTCGTCGTCTTGTGTAGCTCGATCCGTAGCTGTGTACGGGTCTGGACGATGAGGTTCGAGACACACAGAGTATGCATACTGTTCAACCAGAAAATGTGTAACATGTATGACCATCTTAAATGACCATGATGGAATTGACAATACATGAGTACTTCTCGAAAGTGTCTGTCCATTTTTTTAATACCTCTGTATCGTTTTTTTTTTTTTTTTTTTTTTTTTTTTTCAGTGACGTCGTATTTTGTCGGGCAAAAAATATGATAAAAATCAATAAGTACGATTGAAAAAGGAGTGCTGAATCAGCTGCAGCTAGGCGAGACCTTTTGTTCCCAGCTCGGATTCAATCGAGCCTACGTTGGTATTGCTACGGCAACTCGAGTGATTCGATTATTTTTGTTTCCCATAGTTAATACGATCCGCTTCTCGTTCGCTGTCCAAACAATGGTGCAAAAATTGCTGCCGTACCAAACAAAAAAAGAGAATGGAAGAAAAGAGCGACGAAAACCAATTTTGTCCCTACCCAATCTTTGCACGATCATTAACGTCGGCCAACTAAACAAGTAGAGCTTCCAATTATAAGAGAGGCTGGAGGTTACCCCGTCGGTAGAAATCTTATCGGATTAACATGCCCCGGTCAATGGATTTGCAATACCATAGAGTAAAAAAAGAAGAAGAAAAAAAGGCTGCGGATCAAACAACAACGAAACCACGACAGCCCCAGACGTTGTACATGTTTCACAATTTTAACAGCAACGTTTATTATGCCACTGCCGCTTGCATTGTTCGCGAGGATAAGTAAAGAGGATGGATGTAAAAAAAGACGCGGGCTATCTCTCTCCCTCTATTAATAGACCATTGTATTATCCGCAGAAAATCATTTTACGATCATACACATCGTGTTTTCTCCGATTCTCTTACGTAACGCGTTCTCTTCGTGGCACGTAGGTATAGGGGTACACGCGTGTGGTTACGTGTATGTGGAGCGCATAAAGAGATGGCCAGGGGGGACGTTTTTTATTCGAGTCTCTTTCGACCGCGCGAGACAATGGCCCCCGCTATTTCGTGTAGCTGCCTGCGTGCCAAAAATTATTCGGCAAACCACTGCAACTCGTACGCTTTTTACTCTTGTTTTTCGATAATTTTCAGTCCCCCGAAGAGAGACACCGTTTATCGGACATACAAAAAATGCATTACCGATTTCTCGTATAAACAGGGCGCGATCTACATTTCAGCGGAACAAAAAAACACTGTCGAGTAAACACTGTGCACAAGCGAATGCCTGTTGATGCTGACGTAAAGAGCTATATGGGCGAATTCTCTTCGGCGCAGAAGTGGCGATCATTGCCCGCAGACTTCGTCAAAGGGTCCAAAAAGCCGGAGCTGCGGCTACACACTAAGGGCCTTTGTTGTCTCGCAATCAAGAGACATCTGTTGCTCTCGAATACACAACAGCTCAAACCATAAGCGGTCGATTGAACGAGTTTCTTTTCTTTTTTTTTTTGCACTCTCTCGCTCCCCGAAACATGCTCATTGTTGGCTTTGGCCAAGCGAATACACGTGAAACTATAATTTCCATGTTTGTTTTCTTGATTTTAGGTTGCAATTTTTGTCATCGAGCACCGACCACTGAAGCTGAAAATATTTCTCTTCGCTCCAAAGATTCATTTCATTATACTAAATAATTGTAAAATTGTTTGGTCCACCATTCGTCTGCCTAAATAGATTTATAACAGTAGAGTGGCCGATAATCAAAGTACAATTACTGTAGTTTGAGGCTTACACCTCCACCCCATGTCAATTGTTCATGCGAAGTTGGGGGTTTTGGATGCCCGTAAACAATGACACGTACAAGTAAGTATTGAGGATAAATTATAAATATCATTCTTTATTTTCTTTTGACCTCATCTTTTCGTCACAACAGAGAACCTAACGTTTCAAGCGACCGAAAAGAATCCTATTAAATTTCTTCAGCATCCTCTCTAAAGATTTTGATCTCTCTCAAAAAAAGGCACTTATCTTGATAGATGAATGCTGGGCGTGTGTTGCGAATTTTTTTTTTTTCATTTTCATAACAGAACCATAAATTTCGCTTAATGCCATTGTAAAAGAATCATCGTTAGGCTTCCAACCTCCTAAGCGAAACGGCCATACTGCAATAATGCAGGATCATTCGAAAATTTAAATGGCACCTCGAGCGAAGAGTAAAAAGTTATGTTGGTGACACTAAAAACTTTCCAGGCCACTTCAAATCGTCCATTCGAGTATCTAAATGGGATCGCTCGAAGCATTCGCGGAACCGACGCGATATCACCTCGACTCCATACCACCTCCGTAAGAGAGCCGCATCTGCTCTTTGCAACGAAAAAAGAAAGTGAACCAAAAAAAAAAAAAAAGAGCACACGTACCCGCGCAGCGCGAAAAACGGTAATTTTAGTTAATTAGCAATTAATTACTCGTCGTCGCACCGAGATAAGAGAGCGGGAGAGCAAAGTATACAGGTAAGTATATGAGTTTCACTCACCTTCGTACATCTGGGCGTACTGGGGGAAGCCGGCGGCCCGCAGCCACTTGCACGCCTCCTGAGCTTCGATTTCTGGAAAAAAGAAGAAAAAAAAAGGCAAGTTAAGACCACCGCCATCAGGGACCCGACTTTGGAGATTAATGGCCTTGCGCGTCGTATTCCCGCGCGAGGTTTAAGGCGGGAGACACACACGTGGGGGGAAAAAAAAAAAGTTGTGCGCTCCAAAGAGCGTGGAAGGACACAACTGTAAATACCATGATGCGGGGGTCTACGAGCAAGTGTCGTGCACCCAGAGTCAATATTTTCCCACTGTATGGGCTCGTGAAACGAATACCCCTGATGATGGGCTTGGGAAATTTTTCAGGGGACATTTTCCGCGTACAAAACATCCTTCTCGACGCGCACTATAATGCGTGTTGCTTTTCTCCTGTCGTAAGTATTTTCCTTGGCGAAAGTTTTTCCAACGTCGTGTCGTTGTCTCCCCTCATTGTTTGCACAGTTATCTTTGCTAATTATCCTCGTATATCATTAGCGTCGCGGATATTCCTCGACGAATGTATAATTTTCACTTGTCCGATGGATGCGTTGAAAATTCATCGGCGCGGCTAATTGATTATTCATCATTGTCGCGAGCCTTGCATCAAAATTAATTGCCGTATTTATTTAACGACAATTCGGCTTATTTGTCAGAGCTGCGTTTAATTTTACGTACAGCCGGGGCTTTCTAATCGCGTACAGGTGTGGGATAAAACACAAAGATTTATTTCGGCCCATCGAGAGGTGGTGGTATTTTTTACAAATGGTTTTTGTATATGGATGGAAAAAATCGCACAGATCCACAGTGGCGTTGCTCACGAGTATATAGTATTCAAATGTGTGTATGCACTCGAAAGCCGAAAATTTTTCGAGAAAGCCAGTCATGTACACAGCTCCTTCGTGGGAGTATAATAAACAGGGAATGAAAAATGACGACAGCAATGCGCTCCCTTTAATGATGATCGATCGACTTTCGGCTCGTCCCCGATCGATTTCTCGGTGCGTTAATCGTCCCTCCGCCGAGCCTTTACGGTAAATTTGGTTTGATGCATCGCGGGCCCCCCCATCACCCACTTCTTTGAAGCCACACGTAACACACGTTCTCACCCTCGCGATCGACTTTACTCCGGTGCACTTGAAAAAAAAAAAAAAAAAAACGAAAAAGTGATACTTTTGACGTATGGAAACAAACTCTATACCTTTCGCCGACGATAATTGCATTTCCCACGTATTTTCGAAATTCCCATTGGAAATGTATCCAGAGCCCATCAGACCGTATTAGCAGCAAATGACCGGAGCCCATTGTACACGTGCAATATTCACACACTTGCCGCGCACGTGATAACTCAACGAGGCGCGCTCGGAGGGGCCCTCGACAGCGATAATCAGGGTCTTTCTCTCGAGAAAATCGCCTTGGCGTATAGTCCTGTAACCGGCAATTTCGCACGCGTTACCCAACGAAAGCCCACGAAACATCATGCAAAAAAGAAAGAGGCACCGAAGCTCATCCCGTCGCGCCCCGACGCGTGTGTCTCTATTACGGAAACAATTACAATGTACAATGCACCGCTGGAAAATCGTCCCTTTTTTTCTCCCAAGCGAGTTTCGCGCCGAAACTTTCCTCGGACAATTGGCATGAGAACGGACCGCATTGTTCGCGCTCGTGTTGCCTCTCAAAACGATACACGTGCATATCAAGTGTATACGCCCGTCCGCGAGTTGTTTCCCCCCCTCGAGCGACCATCGTGCCTAGAATTCAATCTCGGTGCTTTGCGGGAGAAACACAAAAACACCCCCCGGGGGTGGGAAGCAGCACTCCCTTGGAAAGTAAAATATTTTCCTTAATAAAGTAAAGTAGTTACTCGATGGGCTGCGCGTCAATCTCCCAGCAGTGCTATGTAATTTCTCGGTTACTCATCTGCTCGTACGCGTGCACCTGTTTATCTCTATATACCTTCTTAGCGGGGCTGCGGTGTACGTAGGAGTGAAAATCAAGTGGTGAGGGGTATGGGGGACTTTTGTGTATCTTTTACGTATTGGTTGGTTTTTTTGTTGCTTAGATTGAATTTTCCAAGTCTTGATTGTTAGTTTTTTTTTTTTGTTTTTTTTTTCAAGCGAATAAGAAATCCCTCGTCTGGCGCCTTATCGCGGCGCTCTCGCGTCGTCATTAATAATTCAAAGAGCACTTCATTTATAATTATTGGCAAAGTTAAAAACAACTTTCGAGCCGGATGATTATCCTGCCGTTTAGTCTTCCTCCTTTTGTCGGGGGAGAAACGGAGAGAGACGGACCCGCGCTGTTTTATTTCAACTCGCGCGTGCAAGTGCGAGCGCATGTGAAAAATAAAATGAAGTGGGGAAAAAAAAGGACGACCGAGCGACTCGTGTACTTATTACTGTCCGCGGGTGAAATCTCTCGCTTGGGAACGTGGATGCGTTTTTTTCCCTTCGAGAGGCGTGTCGGCGTTGACTGAGACTTCTGGTGTTATTGATGGATTAACTGCGCGCTCGGGAGAAATTAAGACCGCGCTTGTCTTATTAACGGGGCTCGCGAGCTTCGCGTGTGGTAGATTCGTTATTCGGGTTATTCTTTTAACTTGTTCATACACTTATTTACGTATTTCTTTCCATCCGAACGAATTGTAAAGCAAAAAATTTTTTTTTCTTATTATATAATGATTGGTCCCATGTAACAAATGTTGCTAACAATGTTCGATCTTGTGCTTGGTGTTGGAGACGCAAGTTGTACCACTGATGTGAATGGACCGAGAATAACGTATGCTGAACTTACATAAATTAATTTTAAAAAGCTATGCTTCGAGGAGCATCTTAAATTTTTGTTAAACTCTAAAGCACATAACCGCACGTATTCTTGTGATCCATAAGGACCATTATTATACCCACCACATGTGAACCATGGAAATGGTTCAGCTGGTAGAGCAGAAAGTCTATACTCCTGCAGTTCGAGAAATAGACTTTTCCAGCCACAAGCGATACGTTGAAGGAATCTAATGCTCTTGTTCTCAGACCACTCAAAAGATACAGTAATATTTATTGGGCTGCATTGGCAGACGTGGAATCTATTTTTTTGTGTTCAAACTATCAAATTAATGGAGATACTACTACTATCAAGCATTTCACCAAAAAAAAAAAAAAAAAATCGGTTACATGTATATATGCGTGATAAAATTAATGGCAACGTGCCAAACATCCAAGAGCACGTAATCCACTTGTGCGGGCCCTTCATCACTGCATCCATCCAATAGCACTCAATAGGCAACCCGCGCGAAATTCATTAAAAGCCCCTCCAAGGCTCGGTTGTAATTATTGTCGCGTCGGATAAGTACGCAGTAACCAGCCGATCTCTCACTCGCGCGAGCGAATAGACACGTCAGAGAGCCATAGGTACACCAACCCCCGCGACGGGGGGGCACGGTTGTCGTTGGCTGCGGCGTAGTTTGTTCAAGTAACGCCAAGTCATTTCCCATGTAGGTTATACACAGGCACGTGGGTATAACGTACAACCCACAGTAGGTGGGGAAAAAGCGTCGCCACCGAGTCGCTGGTGCAGCTGCTACACAGAGAAAGTTTTTAATTTATGATTCGTCGCGGCATAAGGAGGAAGAGTATAGGTGGCGGAGGTGAAAATTTTTGCAATCATTTTTTTTATTCCCCACCCCCGTTTTTCGCTCGTCGGGCTTTATGGCGTCCTAAATTAAGCGGACTCTATACCGGAGCGGCACTGGCTGGTCGTGATTTACGTAACGAGCCGACGGAAAATATTACCGAAATTAAAATTGTCGCCGTGCATGCCTGTATATATTTGCACGTAGATAAAATAGAATCGGATATTGTTGAATGTTGGTCCGTGTATTTTGTTTGTTTTTTTTTTCCTTCATCACAGTGCTGGTTCGTCATTCGTCATATTTTACCGGTGGACGTAACGTACACCTTACGTAAGGCATTGCATAATTTTTAATTGGCGACGAATCAACGCGAAACCCGCGAACGATATATAATAGAGAGACGAACACACACATATGTACAATAAAAATAACTCGGAGACGGGAAGTCTGGTGCAGGTTGCGGTGCATACGACCCCAGCGAGCGTATATACATCCAAAAATATACTCCCATTCGCACTTTCAAGAGGTACGTATGTATAGTTGTGACAGGCCACCGAGCACGTGTTCACCCACATCCGCGATACCAACCAAACGCGGACCCGGCTCGCAAATAACGACAATAATAATGATACGCGCGAGATTACCTCCCCTGCTGGGATTATGCCGCGACTAGGTGTACACGTGGCGCGTTTTGCATAACGTTTCGCCGCACGTCTTCATCTCTGGCTCGCGGAAATAACTTATATGTATACATACACTAGGCGTATGCCGGGGTACTTATGACTCGGGGGTCCGAGCATGTTTATCTCGGGGGGGGGCTCTCGTAAATCCATTCGAGGCTGGGAAAACTCGCGGGGTGGCCGGTACGAGCCGCTGGGAGGTCATTGTGAAGATGTCATTTCTAGGCGTCCCGTCTCGCGCGAGGGTTACAGGCGCCCCGTGGGGGGTAGTCGATTCAATCGCCTCGACATCCATGATGCTCTTGTATTTTTTACAGCCTCCATTCATTTTATCCATATGGATGTGCGTGGTGGTTCATGTGAAGATTATTGAGGTAAACCAGCTGGATTAGGGACGCAATCGCGCGTTCAGTCGGAGCAACGTGACAAATGGTGAAAGACGAGCGATAAAATCTACTCTGACTTTCAAATCGCGAGTGGATGGAAAGGGCGCGGGTGAGAAAATTGAATGTTGTCTGCGTGATCCACCCAAGACTCGATGCGATGCGAAAGCACCTATATTCATACAGGTGGTGATTTATGATTTCGATCAAACTACCGACGAGGCCCCGCCAAAAAAACCATCCGAGCGCAAAACTTTCGAACCAAGGTATAGGTTGCCGAACTCCTTCGGGGGTCTCGAAATGTAAATTTGGAAACGAACGCCCGCTCGCTTACGTAAAGATATATCGCGTGTGTCGTCACACAAAGGTACATGCACGTATAAGAGAAACGCTCGAATTTCCGTCAAATTTAAATTTCCAATTTTGCGAACAATGCCTCGTTTGAATCAATTTGATGGAACAGCATAGATCGTATAAATAATCATCCCACGGGGGGTGCTTGAGATACTAACTTTTCGACAACAAGTTGCCGTAGCAGCTGTTAAATCGTTTTATGATTTACCTCGCGTGTTACGTATTTTCTTTTTTACAAAAAGTACTTTTTTCGATTTTACGTAACATGTATCATCTGCATTTACGTCGCATA